AAGCCATTTTTAACACAGTCATTGGATAAACACTTTTTTGGTATAATTTGTATGTTACAGTAAAGGCTAAGAAGGATATACTAATAAACAAAATTAAAAAAAAAAAGACACAAGAAGTCAGGTGTGGTGGCACACACCTGTAATCCCATCACTTGGGAGGCTGAGGCAAGAGGTCCTCTGTGAGTTCAAGGCCAGCCCCAATAGCAAGACCCTGTCTTCAAAAAAGGACACAAAGACAAGGGTTGGCCTCTGTGCTCTTCAGTAAACACTAATGACATAATCAGGGTGGATACAGGTGGCCACGCTAGGAACAGTAAGGAACCACTTGAAGCAGCATGTGACTTAATGTGAAGTCATTAGTGCTTATGATCAGTCTCTGAGGGCAGAAGTTGTGCTCATTCCAGACCCAACAGTCAGGCCACACTCCAGAGAGGGCTGGGATCTGAGGAATGGACAGGGGCTATGCAAAGGAGCAGAGGAAGTAGGTGTTCTGGGCCAGGGACACCACACAACACTGACAGGAAGAAGAAGGCACAGACAGTGAAAACACAGCTCTTTGGAATCAAGAGGTCATTTGAGTGACTGATGTCAGACAGGCAAAGGCCAGACTGTAGTGTTCAGCGAGGGATACTTACATCCTAGAGTTGTAGAAAAATCAGTTTTAAGGCAGCAGAATGCCGGGACAGTAGAACTTTAGGGTAAAGTTTCGGTTCTTGGGAGAAGGGTGTAGCAAACAAAATGCCTCTAAGAATGAGAGATAACAAGGAGACCTACAAAACAAACAGGACCTGCCCTGCAGTGGTGGATTAACAAAGAATTAGTGGAACTCAGTGGGCAGCTGCTTTGAGTTTTCCATCTCCTCCAAAATGGAAGGCATCAAAAATAGGAGTACAGCGGCAGAGGATTTAGCTCAGTGGTACCACTGTCTGCCTTGCAAGCACAAGGTCCTGAGTTCGATCCCCAATACCAGAAAAACAACAGGAGTACAAGGAGACTGGAAGTAAAACAGAGATGTCAGCTGGAGACAGCAGAGAAATACCTCAGAGGAATGTGGGCACTGGGCACAGGGCTTTGGGAGAGGTCGGTGAGAGAAAATGACTTCTATACAGAGAATGGAAAACAGAGTAATAAAAGTAGAGGTTTAAAACTAAATCTAGAGAAGTAGCCCATTAAAGACCACATGAGAAATGTTGAACAAATGCTGTAGACAACAGTCCTTGGGAAAGCAGAAGAATCTACTGTCAACCCCGAAGCCAAGGAAGAAGAGCGAGTCTAAACAAGAGTTCACTGACACTATCCCATGCAACAGAGTGGGCGAAGTCCACTGGCACTGATTCAGGGCTACTTCCAGCAGCTCCTGTGTGCCTCTAACCCATGGTTGATTTTTTCCTTTTAATCATTAGCCACTGACTGTCCACACCAATTGTTTAATAAAATTATCATTTTTAAAAAATCTATCATCAACCCACACATGCTCAGATAGTAGGTCTTGCCTCTTTGCTGCTGTTATAAGTTTCCAGGATAAACAACATAATGTATACGTCATACACTGACCACTCCCCACCACGATGTATTCACACTGCCATTCCCCTAGTAATCATCTAGAAATATTTACAATTGAATGCCACCATAACTGTCCTGTTTATCTGGGTATGTAGGTAAGGGCCAGCTGAATTCAGGGAAAAAACAGAAATGAATCTAGTGTTGATCCTTGCCACTCAAAATGTAGTCCATGGACCAGCATTTTCAACTGCGACCTTGTTAAAAATTCAGAATGTCAGTCGGGTGTGGTGGTGCATAGCTGTACTCCAAGCACTTTGGAAAGCTAAGGAATGCAAGTTCAAGCCCAGCCTGGGTGACTTCATAAGACTTTATCTCAAAATGGGAAAAAAGGAGACACTAAGGACGTAGCTCGGTGAGAAGGCTCTGAGTTAACCCCTAGTCCCACCAAAAAAAAAAAAAAAAAAAAACATACAAAAAAAAAAAAAAAAACAAACAAAAACACAAAAAAACAGTGAGGATCAAAATGGGTGATAGATATTAGGAAGTAAGAAGAAAATGTTCAAATAAGAAGGGAACAATGGAGGGGAGAAGGCAAGAAAAGGCCGGGGGAAGGAAAGAAAAAAAGAAAAATCATTCTAGGCAACAGAGACATGGCAGGGAGCATCACGATTCCCAATTTAAAACTATCCTACAAAGGCACTGTGATAAAAACACCATGGTATTGGCAAAGAAACAGACCCAAGGATCAATGGAATAGTTTAGAAGATGCAAAAACAACACCAGATATATTCAGCTACCTCATCTTTGACAAAGGAACCAACCATCTTCACTGGAGGAAAGATACCGTCTTTAATAAATGGTGTTGGAAAAACTGGATTTCAACTTTCCAAAGATTAAAACAAGATCCCTATCTCTCACCGTGCACTAAACTAAAATCCAAGTGGATTAAATACCTAAATATAAAAACAGAAACACTAAACCTACTGGGAATTAAATTAGGTAGAACTCTCGAAAACACTGGCATACGAGAAGACAGTACGAACAAATCCTCAGCAGCATGTGAACTTGCACAAAGAATCAACTGGGATCTCACTGTACTAAAAAGTTTTGGCAGTGCAAGAGAAACCACCAACAGAGCTAAGAGACAACCTACAATGTGGGAAAAAAATTTTTACCAGCTACTCCTCAGACAAAGGAATACTATTCTAGAGTATATAAAGAACTCAAAAAAATCAGACACCCCAAATAGAAAGGCCCGAATCAAAAATGGGCATCTGAAATGAACAGACATTTCTCAGACAAACAAGTAAAAGCAGCAAATAAACACATGAAAATATGTTCAACATCACTGGTCATTTGAGAGATGCAGATGAAAACAACACTGAGATTCCACCTCACCCCACAAAGAATGGCTGCTATCAAGAAATTCACCAATAACAAATGCTGGTGGGGCTATAGGGAGAAAGGAACCCTTCTTCATGTTGGTGGGAGTGCAGACTGGTGCAACCACTGTGGAAATCAGAATGGAGATGCCTCAAAAAACTAGGATTAGAGGTCCCATTTAACCCAGCTCCTCCCCTATGGGTATCTTCCCCAAAGAATTAAAGGAATCATACCACAGTGATATATGTCCACCAATGTTCATAATGACACAGTTTGTAATAGCTAAAATCTGGAAACAGCCCAATTGCCCATCAACTGGAGACTGGATAAAGAAAATGTGCTTTTTTTAATAAAATGGGGTATACTCAGCCATAAAGAATGAGAAACTAGAGACATTTATAGCTAAATGGATGCACATTGAGACCATACTCTTAAGTGAAATAAATAACACACACATATGTAAAATACCAAATAGTTTCTCCAGTGTGAAAAACTAAAATTTTAAATAAGGTTCAAATGGTAAAACTGAGAGTGTGAAATAGGAAGAAAACGGCTAAAGGGGAAGTGGGAAAGGGAGGGGAAAGGAAAGAAGGGAAAAGAAAAAAAATGTGAAAAAAGGAAAAAAGGGAAACAAAGTCTTTGGAAGGGTAAAAGGAGGGCAGAGTATGATAAGAACTAAGACATATCATGTAAAGGTATAAGATCCCAAGGATAAATGTCACTGTATTGTTTGCTTTAAATGTACCAATAAACTTAATGGGGAGAGAAAAACAAATAAAAGAATTACCTTCAACTCAGTACAGTTCAGAAGGGCTTAGCACTGAATAACCAAAGAAATAATTGAAGGAGGGAAAGGGAGCATATGAATTCAGGGATGTGGGGCCTGTGCAGAGGTCCCAGTTCATCCCTGCTCAGTCTCCTGGCTCAATGATGGAGCCCAGGCCCTTTGAATACATGGCGGGGTCACTTAAGGAAACAATTCCAGCTTTTGATCAGGGGCCCAGGCCCATAAATCCTTCCATAAACTGCTACCAAATTTGATTATAGGAAGGGTTTCACATCTTGCATCTAGTTGGCAGTTTTTCTAGATTTTATAAAAGTCCTGACCTGGTGAAGATCCTATTTGTGAGCTTTATATTTACACAACCCCAGGAATTTACGATCTCATTCTGTCCCACTCGTTCTCCTATGATATTAAGTTTCCCTGTAGGTCTTAGAATGCAACTGCTAAAATATTCTTTTGGCCTAATTGAAGCCAAACTTGAAAATGCAACTCTAACACCAAATGAAAAGGGCCTGCAACTAAGGGAGCTCACTGACAGCTCTACTGTGTAAACAACCAGGTGTCAGGCAGGCTCACTGGCTACAGAAAGAGTTATTGGACAAAGGAACAGTCATACCCTAGGTCGGGCACTGACACTCAAGGCAGATTCTTCCCTTTGTGGGGGATGTGCTCAAGGCTGTAATATTTCTTCTTCTGATTTCTCTAAGTGTATTGAGTAACTTTTCTTCAACATATCATTTTGAGATCTTTTATTATTTGTAACAGCTTTACTGACATATAATTTCCTATTTCAGAAATAGAAGTTCCTATTTCAGAAACAGAAGAGACTTTCATTCTATCCCCTACCTAAAAGAAATGCTTCATTTAACTTCCCCAGGAATAGAACACAATAGCCACTTCTTATCCAGATATATAGGACAGTGTTATGATTCTCTGATAATACACCCTAATATCTCAGTTCTTCTCAGTGGAAAAATATGCCTTGATGAAATCCCTTCTATTAAAATTCCAACTACCAACACAGGTAAAAGTAAAGGCTTTTAATGCTATATTTCAAAGACAGATGGTGAAAATGCCATGGGAAGTCCCCATAATCTACTTAATTTGGAAGAACATCCTTAGGAAGTGAGCTCCATTTACTGCATCCGAAGTGGAATTTACAGATCCTTACCCCTGACTGTCCCCTATCTCTCCCCAATTATGTTCCTACCAGATGGTATGCTTTTTAAAGGGTTGCTGGAGCCTGTACAGATCTGTTAATTTTCACCTCGGGGATAGCATGAACACAGAGGCAGGTTTTTGTCTCAGAAAGGAGAGAAAAGCAACTTACATGCTCTCACAGAACCTCGTCAGGGTGCTGGGCTTCTCCTGGTTGCGTCTTTGCCGAAACCAGCGCTGAATGCTTTGAACATCCCAGTCCAGCTGCTTGGAGAGGCCTTCCAATCTCTTTTCATCAGGATGCTATGAAACATGGTACAGGAAAATCATTTCCAATCCAGTCTCATTTGCACCATAAATAGATCTGCCCTTGTGTATATCTGAGGTTTTTTTTTTTTCTTCTATGTTTATTATTTGCTACTGTGATTTCTCTACTTACCATGAGAGCCTAGGCCCAGAATTAGCAGCATGAACATAAATAATCACTAGGTTACTCATTAGGAAACATGATGAAAAAGCATGAATCTCTCTGTAAAGCTGATCTCCTGATCAGCAATGTGCTTCCTAAGAGGCAGTCCAGTCTGATGGAACAGCCAAGAGGCTAAGTCAACCCCATCAGCTCTCAAGGTGAATTTGCAGAGGAATCATTTAGGTACTTCACTTTCTCAAGGAAAAAAATGTCAGACTCATCCATTACATATTTGGATAATGTAAAATAGACAAAAAGCACAGAAAAATTCCAAACTACCTCACTTAAGCCTAAGGAAACCTTGTACTCAACACGTTTTCTTTGCCTCCATTTTGCCCATCCTAGACATATTTCTCACGTACTCTTTTTCTTAGTTTTTGCTTTCACCTGGATCCTACATTCGGTCTCTTACTAAGACTGTGCATTACCTGAAAAAGCAAACTTGGTAAAGTGAATAGAGAGTCCTGAGATAAGTAGCAAAAAGTTCAAGTGCTCAATCCACTGACCTCCCCGAGTCTCAGTTTCCACATCTATAAAAATAAATTTTGTTAGTCAACCGAAATGGGATTGTGCGAAGACCTAAATGTGCAAATGTACATAAAACTGAGCAAATGTTAATTCTCTTCTCTTTCCTCTTTCTCTCGATTATGTTCAAAGGTATCCTGGAAACGACCAGGTACAGGTGATCTGCTATAGAACAAAACTATGCTATGAGAGCTCCATTCCTTTATTTATTCTGTGTTTTAATATTAATGATGAGGGAAATAACTGAGAGGTGAGTAGGGAGAAGGCAGGTGGACCGGCATCCGAATCGTAAGGGTAGAATGCACAGGTGACACCATTCTAAAAAGCACCTCAAGCAACTCACGGGGTGTGTGCCACCCAAAACTCACATGTTGAAACTCTACTCCCCAGTGTGATGGATTTGGGAGGTCACGAAGATGCAGCACTCCTGATGATATCAGTGGCCTTGTAAAAGACACCCTAAGAGCTGGCCTCCTCTCTCTCTTTGCCATGTGAAGAAGAGGACTTTTACCAAGAACCAGACCATGCTGGCACATGGTTCTCAGATTTCCAGATTCTAGAAGTGTGAGAAATAAAAAGTTCTCTGCTTTAGCCACCCCGATTACTGCTTTCTGTCACAGCAGTCTGAACTGACTAGGACACTCAGACACCCAGAAAACACAGCAAATGGCCTTAGGATACAAAATGAACTGACCTTGTGCCTCTTACTGTCATCTGAGTTCCTTTTACCAGGCCACGCTTTCATAGCTCTCCTCATCAAAACTGAAAACAAGAACGCTCGCTGCCCACAATGTATGTCAGCTGTACCATTTTCCTGGAGAAATTTATTTTTAATTTTAATCTATTTTCTAAATTTCTTAATAAAGGAAACAAAGGGGTCACAGATTTTAAAATGGTCTAAAGTTTCACCTTCCAAATTTGTTCCTGTTCTCGCAGCTCCTCTCTTCCCTTTCTTAACAGGTAACCACAGTTATAAATCAGTCTCCTTCCAGAGTTACTTCATGTGACTATAAGCAAAACTGATTATGTAAGTATGCACAAAATACATTTTTATATCCCCACCCTGATCACACAAGTGGTTGCATACTATGAACTTTGTTCTGGACTTTGGAATTTTCTGCTTTACAATATATCCCTGGAATATTTCCATATCACTATTCAGAAAATGCCCTCCTCTTATAGAACTGGAGGGACATAGTAAGGTTTACTTACACTTTCCCCTATTCGTAGTCATTAACATAGCACCCAAACCTCTGCAATAAAAAGGGCTGCAATAAGTAAGCTTGCCATTGGTCATTTTGAACAGATTCATCTGTGGAATCAATTCCTGGAAGTAAAAATTGTAGATCAAAGAGGTCTGTGCTTCTGTAATTTATTTTAATATAAAAATTACTCTCACTAGTGACCTTATGAATTTATACTCACAAGCAACAATATCCATTTTCCAAAGCCTTCTCAATGGGGCATATTACATTTTTTTGCATTTTCCAGTCTAATATACAAAAAGTATACCCCAGCATAGTTATTTTTTTCTTTGCGTGAAAGAAATATCTTTTAGATGTTTTTAAAAATGTTTCGTATTTCCCTTTTTTGTAAAGAGTATGCTCATCTCATGTCCACAGTCTGTATTTTTCTTGAGCTGGTGATATTTTCTTTATCGATGTGGAGGATTTCTTTAAATTTTAGGGTATAAATCTTTGTAAGTTGCACACTTTCTACCAGTATGCCATTTGCACTTTAGAATTTGCTTAGGTTGTTTCTGCTTGTTTTACTTGCAGATGTTTGCTTAAAATACACACTTGACTGTATCAGTCTTTTCTAAAACAGCCTCTAAATTTTGAGTTAAAATTAGAAAAGCCACCTTTGGTCTAAACATTCAAAAAAAATAATCGCAGGTTTTCTTCTAATGCATTTAGGAGTTTGATACATTCAACGCTCTAGTGCATTTGAAATATGCTGAGAGATTCAGCAGGAGGTAGAACCTAACCTTTCCTGATGGCTACCCAATGCCCCAATACTATTATTAATCTTTTCCTCATTGAAAAAACAATCTGCTCTTTGATTTATTATTTGTGTACCAATAATGTGCAGTTCTTTTTCTCAGAAATACTTATTTTTCCACATGAAGTAGCCTGTTTCCAAAACAAGCAAATTGGTCACGCAAGCAAGCATGTTGGTATTTTTAATTTCACACCAACTTCCTAAATTAATATAGGGTAACTTAACATCCTTCTTCAATTTGTTTTCAATGTCCTTTAAAAATGTTCGAAAACTCCTCATAGAGATATCGCACATAGCTCATGTTTATCCTTAGGGGTTTTGTTTCTCTTGTGGATAATACCTTTTCTTATAATTTTTAATCACCTCTTGTTTGCATAGATATGAAAGCCAATGGGTTTTCTTTTATTTTAGTTTAACAGTATGTTTGCAGGACACAAAGTCTGCATCCTTCGTGGGAGGTTGGTACACGTACATAACACATCTTAATTCCTTTTTTACCTCTTCTCCCTTCCCTCCCTGCTCTTCCACCCATGTCTTTTAATCCCTTTCAGGGGGTGCATCTCGGCAGTACATAGAGCTGGCATTCCTTATGTGCAGTCGGTACATGTGCAAAACACACTCCAATTCCCTTTTCTCATCCTGTTTCTTTCTCTTCTTCCTCTCTCCCTCCATCTCTTTATGTTCTTCCCCTTTGAGAAAAATCTATCTCCCTACTTCTTATCTTTTATTTTGCTCTTTATTTCTCCTCTGGGCTTCTCATATAAAAGAAACCATGTGATACTTAAGCTTGTGTAACTGGTTTCACTTAACATTATGGTCTCAAGGTACATCCACTTTTCTACAAATGACTCAAGCTTATCCTTCTTTATGGAAGAGTGGCACTTCACTGAGTGTAAATGACATGTTTCCTTTAATTCTGTACTAAAATTTCATATGATTTGTAGTTTTCACTTACATTTCTAGATATACAAACACAAAATAGTGTATTACTAGAATGTAAGATCACAAACCAAGTAAAACCTTAAGGTTTTTACCCAATTCCTAGATTATAGCAGGACTCATAAATATTTCTAGAATGAATAAATTTTCAAGTATTAATAGTTTTGCCTCCTCCTTTCACATTTTTTTTTTCTCTTGTCTACTTCTTAGTTCAATTAAAATTCGGTACAGTGTTAGGGCCGGGGATTTAGCTCAATAGTTCCACTGTCTGCCTCTCAAGCACAATGGACCTGAGTTCAATCCCCGGTACCAAAAAAAATCAGTACAGTGTAGACTAGATTATAACAGGTGTTTCTGCCTGTTCTGGCCTTCAGTGAAAATACTTTTCATTTTCTCATCAAACAAGAAGTCAGATTGGGGGCTGAGATACAAATATGTATATATACCATGCAAGGCAGCTAGCTCTCTAGTTGGATCATTTTATTTCAATAAGAAAGATGTTACATTTCAACATTCATGGAATATCATGAATTTTTTTCCTCTTAAGAGGAATATTAGTACTATGAATTCTGTAGATTTTTTAAAATATTGAATACAGAGAAGAGCCTGCATTCCTAGAATAAATCCTACTGAGTTGTGATAATTCCTTTAATGTGTTCATTGTCTTTCCTCATTGAAACACTGAATTCTGTTTGCCCATATATAATTTAAGATTGTCCACGATACTAATAAGTATGATTAGTCACCAGTATTTCAGGAGATGAAATCTCTGTCAGGATTTGATATGGATGTTTAACTACTACAATAAAGAAGAAATGAATGGCTTTTAAAATTTTCTGTGCTTTCGTATAGTTTAAGAGAACTACCTGTTTGTAAAAGAATGTTAGAATTCTTTAGAGACGTACGTTAATTGGTTTTAATAACCATTCTATGTATATCAAAATATTATACTGTATACCTTCAATATAATTTAAAAAGAAGAAAGAGCAAATATTATATATGATTTCTAATACAACTGGGAATTAACCCTGCCATTCCTCTATCTTAGAAACACTAATCATCTGAATGATGAAAAGAGTATATACCTATATGCTCAATAAATTTTGTTTTGTTTTGGTTTTGCTTTTGCCTTTTGTAGAACTGGGGACTGAACCCAGGACCTTCATGCTAACCTAGCTCTATTTTTATGTTTTTTATTTTGAGATCTCATTAAATTGCCAAGTTGCCCAGGCAGGACTTGAACCTGTAATCCTCCTGCCTCAGCCTCTGCTGAGAGATGAGATTACAGACATGTTCCAGGCACTAACCTCAATAAACGCTTTGAGTGAAATGACCAAAAAAAAAAAAATAATAATAATAATAATGATAA